GTCCAGGTTGGCGTAGGCTGCAGTCACCATGCTCGACGGGGGGCAGGGGCAGTTTCCCAGCTCATGTGCAGCTGGCAGGGAGGCTCTGACGGGTGTCGGTGGAGACAGCCCTCAGGTCCTTGCCACGTGGCCTTTCCAGCACAGTGTAAGCCCCAGCTCCCAGCCGGCAAGCTACCTGCACGTGTACTGCCATGAAACAGGTCACCCAGAACTCACCGCTGAACGAGTGCCCATTGTTGGCTCAGTTCTCTCTTGCCATGTGGTTTGGCTGGGCTCTGTGTTCAGGTCCCCTCTGGAAATCAAGCTGTGGACTGGACGGACTCTTCACTGGGGAGGAAGGGAGTCCTGGCTCACCCGAGAGCTGGCAGAACCAGGTCCTGTGGTTGTGGGACGGCTCTGGGGCCACCCGCAGTCCTCCACCAGCCCTGCGTGCAAGTCAGCCATGGCCGGGTCCTCCCGGGCCTTCCCTCCTGCCCCAGCAGGAGCTCCTCATCCCTGGCTCATCTTGCAACAAACAGAATCCCCACCTGACCGTCCCTTCGGGCACTCCACGGCCACGAGGCAGCCTGCCTCAGCTCTGGCCCCCGCTCTCCCACCCTGATGCAGCACAGCCCCGCCCGTCCACAAACCCTCACCTGTGCCTCAGTGGCCACCGCATCCCAGGGTGGGCCGCCTGTTTGCCCTGCACGCTGCCCTTTCCCCCACTCAGGCTGGAGCACCCTCAGAGGTCAGCCAGCCAGCCCAGGGTCCTGTCTTCCTGGTCAGGGGAGGCGCTGTGTGCTGGGACCCTGGCGCCTTTCCCGCGTCCCTGCGGGGTCTGAGAAAGGGAGGCCAAGGTGGGCCTTGGAGGGGTGTGGCGTACTGCGGGCCTTCCATCCATGAGGCCGGTGTGCTGCCCTCTGCCCGGAGCCTGGCCCAGCCCCCCGTTTGGGGGCCCCTCCATGGTCCTGTCTTCTGTCTCCCTGGGGCAGCCTGCTCTGGGGAGGACTGCCTGGACCCTGGTGGGGTGCTGCGGCCAGGAAAGGCCACCTCGGACGGTGGGTGGGAGGCTGCACCCTGTTCCAGGGTCTAGAGGAAGAGTGCCGTGGAGGCTGCTGTGTCCCCTCTGGCTGTGTCCCCTCACAGTTCCTTGAGATTCCTGGGAGTGTTCATCGGGGTAGTGCTGCGTCACGCTGGACCCAGAGCCGACCCAGGGCTGGCCGTCCACAGTGTAACCCCCCCCAGCCATCTCTGCCTCGGCTCGGGCTTCAAATGACCAACCAGTCACCAACCAGGGGACCCATGGGCTGAACAGGGACCTTTTGAGACACCCCTGGCCGTGGGAACCGGTTTCATCTGGCCCCTCCTTGTCTCCCAACCCAGATGTGTCTAGGGGATGCTGTGGGGCCAGGGTTTAGGGGCACTGGAGAGTACCCCACTTGCCCTCTGGGGCAGTGCCCCTCCTTCCTGCCCATGGCCTCCGACCCCCTTGCTGTGGGGCTGTGGCTGAGCTTCCCTCTCTACCCCTGTGGTCAGTCCCTGTGGTCAGCCGCCAGCCTGGCTGGGCAGGACTGTGGGAAGCCATCCTGACACGTGACTGGGCGGCTCCCGTTAAGGGCCTGAGGCGCTCTGGCTGTGTCGGAGCTTTCCCGGCCCTTTCCTGATGAGAGAGCCCATCCATGTGGGGGTGTGCCTGACCACTGACCCTGGGGGCCCAATCACTGACCCTGGCCTTGGAGTGCAGTCCCCCCTCAACCTTCATTGGATGGAATTCTCCCCTGAATCTCTTGTTCCCCAATAAAAAGCTACTCCCAGGTGTGTTCATTCTCTCTCTCTCTCCTGATAGCCCTGAGTAATCCTTGCTGCCCTGCTGGGCGGCTAGAGGAGCCAACCAGAGAGGGGAGCCGTCTCGGACCTGGCAATAGAAATAAGGTAACTGAGTCTGTGTGTTTTATTTCGATCTCTTCTAGCTAACTTTATGCCTAGAACCTCATTAATGAAACCACTGCGCAGGCCGCATGGTGGACAGGACCTCTGCCCATTTCCTGCGGGGCTTCCCCTCCCTGGGGAGCTGCAAGCCCCCGCTGTACCTGGAGAGCACAGTCCTTGGCCTGCAGGCGGGCATTTCCTGGTCACCTTGCCTTTGCTGTGGTGTCCCTTGTCATCGCACTGGAGTCATCTATGAACTTTTCTCCATCTGAACTTGGCACCTTGTTCATCTTTTTCTTTCAAGTTTTTGACAGACGGCTTGAACCTGCTGCACACAGTGTGCAGTGCACCACCTGGCACGTGGTCCAGCGGTCTTGGTCACTTGCAGTGGGTAGCACTTCTCATTTCAAGGCACAGCGTCTTCAGCCACACCTGTCCTTCCCTTCCCCAGCTACTGGGAAACACACTCTGTCCCCAACCCAGTTTCTTGGTGCAATCTCCTAGATCTCCTGGAACCTCCAGAGCAACAGAGTGTCTTCTGTGAGCTCAAAAGATGACTGACAGCCGGGTACCCCTGGATAGTTTCACGGTGAGACTGGTCACCCCAAATACACTGCAGCCTCACCAGCCTCCAGGGAGGTCCAGGCCTGTCCCACAGCCTCACCCTCTGCACCTCTCCTCCCCTGTCCATCCGCATCCTCTGTCTATCCTTGATAATAAATTTTTTTAGGTAAACATAACAAAAGTGTGAGACCCTCTCGCTAGCTCCTCAACCCCAGCAGGGTTAGAGCTGGTCAGGCAGACGCGCAGGCCACATCCTGGGGATTCATATGGGAAGAGGGGGAGTCTCTGGAAGTGAGCCCTCAGCCCATGCCATCTCATGTTGTCTCCATGCCAATGGTGCCAGGAGGCGCCCAGCTCATGCCTGCTTCAAGATTGCTTGCCTGCTGTTGGGGCATGTGAAAGTCGGTGACCCCAGGATGAAATCCTTCTTCTCAGACCATGCAGAACCAGAGCCAGGAAGTAAGAGCTGGGAAGGGCTCCTCGCTCGTTCCTGTACCTACTCGAGGAATTCCTCAGAGCCTCACAAGAGATCCCCTGTTCTACACGTCCCGGGTTTTGTGCGCCTGGCACGCGTCCACACAGGTCCCTGCACAGGTCACCTTAGCATTCTCCAAGTCAGGGGCAGCTCAGACGAGAGGCTCTGGCCGGAGCACAGCAAAGTCCCCTGCACCAAAGCCCTGGCGCCAAGTCCTGGCGCCAAGTCCTGGGGGGTCTCCGAGACCATGGAGCTCTGGATCCAAGCGGCTCCCGAGCTTCTCCCCCGCCCCCAGCCTCCTCAGGCGAGCCCCCAGTTTGCCATTGCAACACTCTGTTATTCCAAAATAAGACCACTGTTCTTGGGAGAGTGTCTCCCGGTTATTTGGATGGACAAGAGAACCCTCGGTATTTAGCGGAGCAGAGGCGGTGCTGTGTTGAGCCGTGGCAGAAGATTCCCCTCCCAGGAATCTGCCTCCCGTCCTCAGCAGCCTCGGATCACTGCACAGATGTCCCCACTCTGCCCTTTCCTGGGACAGCAGTGGAGGACAGGGTCTGTGTGTGTGACACCTTTCACTCAGTGTTGTTGCAAGGGTCCCCATGCTGAGCCAGGTGGTGGGGCCGGGTGGCGTCTGCCCTGGGCGCCTCGCCTGTTGTCCCTGGGCTGCCAGGCGAGGACATTTGGGTAGTTTCCACGGCTGCTGTGAACAGTGCTGTGAGCGTCTGTGGCCTGTGTGTGTGGGCGAGCCCCACTTCCCTTGGGTGTATGTGCCCAGGGGCGCCACTGGGGCATGTGGTAACTCTGGGCTTCTCCATTCAGTTAATGGTTTGCAAGACTAGAAAATCCAGTCAGAGCCTCGGGAGGACTTCTGAACTGTCGAGCACTTTTAAATTCTTCTGTGGGCATGGAGTCTTGGGCTCCTTGGAATGCCTGTTCACTTGGTTTCTCGCAGGTGTGGCCAACTGCCCGCCTGGCGGGCGGCGTCCTTCCCTGCCGACCTCCCTGGCACCCTAGCTGGCACGTGCTCCCTGCTCCCCACTCTTGTGCCCACTTGGGCGCCGCGAGCACGGCGGCTATTTGCTCTCTGGGTGAGGTGGGCGCTGGGTGCCATGCGTCGGGCGGCTGTCGTCTGGGGCAGTCCCCCTCCCGCGGGCATCTGTTTATTTTCATGAGAAGGCTGCCCAGCGAGAGCACGGGAGGCTGGGGGAAGGGCCTGCCGCCTGCTTCCTGGCAGGACTTACCGGGGAGGGACCCGGTCGCCGGCTTCCCTCAATGGCTCTGAAACCAGGAGCCCGAAACTTAGCCCAGGGCCTGGTGATTAAATATCTGCTGAGCGAGTGAGTGGGCAGCTTCCACACACCCTCCCCCTTAACTCCCGTGGCCAGCCCACTCCCACACCTCACGGGCACACCTCCACTGTGGCCTGAGGGCACTGGGCCCTGTGGGCAGGCTGGTGGCCTGCAGGAGCTGGAGGCAGAGTCTCTGCCCAGAGAGGGGCAGGCAGGGCCTGAGTGGCCCGGGGGCTCCTGGGAGAGCTCAGCTAGGGGAGCGGGAAGCCCAGGCCGCGGGTTGGCGAGGCTGAAGGTGTCAGCACCCAGCCAAGGGGACAGGTTTCCCATGAGCAGGGACGGAGCTGTGCGTGAGACGGGGGCCCCACCCTAGCTGACAGGTTCCAGTGAGGCCTGTCACCGCAGTGCCACCTCCTCCAGGAGGCCCCTCCCTCCCCTGGGCCTCCAGAGCCTCCCCGTCTCTCTCCCTGAGTCTTCTGGACTCCCCCTCTGGGCACCACTCTGCTTCCAGCCCAGCTCCCCTTCCCGCCGGCCCAGGAGCAGCGCTGGCCTGGAGGTCACTAGGTCCTATCTCGGGGCTGACCTTTCAGGCCCTGCGGTCTGGCTGGAGCTGGGAGGACTTGTGGCAGAGGAGGGTGCTGCAGTGGGGACGGCCTGGGGTGAGGAGGCCACAGCTTGGAGGAGGTGGGGGGGCCAAGGCTTGGTGGACCATCGCTTTAACCCCAAGCCTGGAGTGCGCCGTGGCTCTCACTGGACGACTTGTGCTGGGTGGTGGCCACAGTTTATTGGGGGTTTGTGGGGACTGTGGTGGGGGGAGATGAAATACAGGGAGGGGTGCTTAGGCATGCACTGCAGCAGATGGAGGCAAGACTTCATGCAGGACTTCCCCAGGAAGAGTGAGTTTGGGGAGGTGTGGGCTGGCCAGTCTGAGAGGGACTTCAGGGGCTAGGCCAGGGTAGGGAACATGGTCTGTCAGGCTGGACATCATGGAGGAGAGTGGTCAGTCATGGTTACAGAGGCTGGACTGGCAGCAGGCAATGGAGACATGGGGTCCCAGGCTCAGGCTGGGGACATCAGGGCAGCTGTTGTAGCACATCTTGGTGACCAGAGGCAGGTCCTGGAAGCTGATGGGGGACCCTGGGGAGGCAGGAGAGGGTCCCTGAGGCTCTGAGCAGCCCGAATCCCCTTGTCCCACCTGCCCCTGAGCTCAGGGTCCCATCCAGATTCATCAGAAATATGGGCCACAGTGGACATGTTCAGCCCCGGTCTGGACCCTGTCCAGGGCAGAGTCTGACAGATGTCCCCACTCTACCTCTGACCTGTGGGCACCTGGGTCTGCTCTTCCCCCTCTGAGCCTGGATCTCCAAACCTGGGCCAGACAGGTGTAGCCTGCCCCCCGCCCACTCACGGGTGGCCATGAGCACACAGTGGGTGGAGCCCCGGGCACTCACGGGTGGCGATGACCACACAGTGGGTGGAGCCTGGCGGGCAGCTGGACACGTGGGAGCAACCTCCGAAGCCTTTGCACAGGTGGCACCGCAGGCCCTGGGCTGTAGCTGCAGACAGACAGACAGACGGTGCACAGGTGGGTGCCTCCTGCAGGGCCACACCCATTCTCCCACCCTCAGGCCAGTCCCTCAGCTTGGTGGCCCAGTCCCCCAGTCCCATCCTGCGGTGCCAGTCCCCATGGACCTTGGGGCACCCTGTTCCAGGTCTCTGGGGGCTGGTGAGAGGCGAGTGTTCAGCCCGCCATTGTGAAGCTGCTCGTCACAGGGTGCAGGGGACCCTGTCTCAGCCAGCTGGCCTGCCTCCCTCTGCCAGGACACCAAGCAGGAGTGGCGCTTGGGGGAGTGGGGAGGGTGGGCTTTGGGGGGAGGCGTGGCAGGGTGGGGTGGCGGGCGTCTGGCTGTGCTCTCTGGCCATGCCCACCTGCGCCTCTGGAGACCCAGGCAGACCCTTTAGAGCTGGGGGCTCCGATCTAGGGGCTGAGATGATGGGCCTTGCTGCTTAGGAGGGGACCCCCGGCCAGGCTGACTGAGGAATGCAGGACGGACTAAGCTCTGTTTGCCTGCTCCTGCAAATGGGCGTCCTTGTCCCGGCTGCCCTGCCCTTGGCTGTCGTGGGTCCCCAGGCCCCTGCTCTCCACTCCCGCCCTCTGCCCCGCCCCAGGCCCTGCATCTGCTTCTTAATCCCCAACTCCCTGTCTCCCTCCTCCCTTCTCCCAAGGAAAGCAGAGCTGTCCTGGTGCTCAGGGGCCTACAGAGGGCCAGGCGCCACGCCACGCTGGCGCACAGGGCCCCTCCTGGTCCCGAGCTGGCTGCGTCCTGCTGTGCTCCAGGGAGCTGAGTCGAAGCCTGGGCCCCACACAGCCCTCCTGATGCCCAGCTGGCCAGGCGCCCTCCCCCAGTCCTGAGGTCAGCAGCAGCCCAGCGCCCCCAGGGCTAGTGTGCGGGGGTCTCTGCTCAGCCCTGGGCCTGTGGTGGAGCCTCGGCCTGTGCACATTGAAGCAGTGGCAGTAGGACACCCCAACAGGGAGAGGGCCCCTTGCAGCTCAGTGGTCTACCAGGACGGCGGAGCAAGCTCAAGCTACCCAGAGAGCTTGGGCTCCGCTGCCAGATGGTGAGGCCAGGCACCGCTGGGTGTTTGAGGGGTGTCCCTCAGGCACAGGACCCTCAGGTAGGCAGTGGGCCGAGTGTGCAGGCTGCCACATCCACCCTCATGGCAGTGTCCCAGGCCCCTCCCCTCTGACCTCTGCTGCTGCATATACCTGTCAAGTGTCAAAGGTTCGGGTCTAGACAAGACCAGCTCCTCCAGGAAGGCCACCCGGATTTCCACACAGGAGTATTGGTGCCTCCTTTGGCACACCAGCCCCAGCTGAGGGCTACACTGGTGGCACCGTGTTCAGGACTCCTCCCCCCCCACCAGACACGAGGCCCTGGGGCTCTCTTCCTGCTCCTCAGTGTCCCCCAAGGCATCCACCACACAGCAGCCCTCCTCCACACCCAGTGAGGCCAAGAGAGGCCTGCGGGATGACTCTGGGTGGAGGCTGGCCATCAAGGAAAGAACGGTCATGTCCCTTATGGGGTTTGTCGTCAGCCGTAGGCAGAAGGGTCAGTGCCCAGCGGGATACTGCCTGCAGGATGGAGTGTGGGGTCCCGGGGACAGAGCCAGAGCAGCGCCTGCGCCTGAGCAGAGGGTCTGGGGAGGAGGGAGGAGAGACGATGGGTGGGCTCTGGGGGCAGAAGGCCTGTGGGCGCTCAGCGCCTCCCTCCGGCCTGTCTGCTCATCGGAAGCGGGGGGCGGGCAGCCAGCCCCTCCTGGGCCACCGTGGGCTCTGGGGAGATGGCACTGCCCGTGTGTGACAGAGCAGGCACCCAGCCACACAGAGGACCAGCTTGGGGTCTGTTCCTCTGGGGCAGGGGCAGGGAGGGCCCAGGGCGCCCTCCAGTCGGGATGCTCTGGGGTACGACCCCTGGACAGTGCAGCTGCCCCTGGAGCCCCAGCCTGACAACGGCAGAGGCTTCCCCTCACTTGAGCTCGACCCCAGGAGGCCTGGAGGTCAGCCCTGATGACCCGGCAGACCCCCAGGATCAGTGGTGTGACCTCTCCCGGGACGAAGGTCCCTGTGGGGCCAGGCCAAGAAGGGCGTCTCTGGGGGTGGGGACGTCTGAATGGGTGCCGTCTAAGGGGGCTCTGTGGCCCCGGAGGGTGGGTTTCAGGAGGAAAGCTGTGGGTGGAGGGGCCAGGTCAAGGGCTCCCCAGGGGCACTCTGTCCAGGGCTAGTGGTGGCCAGACAGGAGGGAGGCGTGGGAGGGGAGGCGGGGTGGGGGTGGGCTGACCCCCGGACTCACCCAGCGCCAGGCTCAAGACCACAGCCAGCAGGAGCCAGAAGCGGAGCCGCATGTTCTCCTGGTGAAGGGGAGGCCTGGCGCCCTGGTGTGCCCTTATACCTGACTGCTCCCACCCCGCCTGGCCTCCGGCCACTGGCTCCCAGCTCTGAGTCACCCAGCATCCAGCTCAGCCAGGAGCTGGGCTGGCCCCGGCTGGAACCAGCCTGCCCCAGAGGTGCCACGGTCTGTCCTCTAGGGAGCCTGGTCGGAGCCCTGAGCCTGCTTCCCTGTCCACTGCTGTCAGGATCCAGGCTGTGGCAGGGGCTGGCGGGGGCTGGGCGCTCTCCCCGGCGGCTGGGGCACTCCTGGCGCCATGAAGTGCAGCTGAAACCGAGGGCTGGCTGGAAGCCAGAGCCTTCCTCAGCACCCACCCAGAGGGCGGCTGGTGCCAGAGGGGCCTGCAGACCTGTCCGACCTCCCAGGGGCCGAGGAGAGCCAAGAAAGCCTGTCATGGGTCTGTCTCCGGGAAGCAGTGAGCAGCTCCAGGCCAGGCCGGCGCTGTGTGGTACAGGGATGGACCGCGAACGGCCCCCGCGGGGTGGGTGGGGCAGAAGGCCCTGGGTGTTCAGGGGGCCCAAGATGGGGTAGCAGCCAGAAGAGTCACACTGCAAGGAAGGGGCCATTCTACCAAAAGCCAGCGAGGACAGGGGTGCTGGGGCTCTCACAGGGAGTTGACCCTGCTGACCGGCACCCTCTGTCTGCTTTGGCTGCCCAGTGGCTGCGGTCTACTCCTGTCTGGTGGCCTTCCTAGGCTGCGGAGGTGGGGCCCAGAGGAGGGAGATTCTGAGATTCAGCCCCTCTTCCTAGGGGAGGTGGGGAAATAGGTCAGGAACAGAAGAGGGACGGGAAATAGAGCAGGTCCTGAGCTCCAGGCCCCCGGCCTTCCCAGGGCTTGTGGCTCCTCAGAGCTGGTGGGTCTGTCTCTCTCTCATGGAACTGGGGGTGATTCCCAGGGAGCCCCAGGAAACTTCTTGCCCCCCACCCTGTGCCTGGGTGGATCCCAAGGTCAGATCAGGCCTGGAGGAGAGGAAGGAAAAACTGAAGATGGAAGGGCTGGGGTAGACAGAGGCAGGACCACCCGGTGGTGGACAGAGACAGGACCACCCGGGCCAGGAGACCCCACCAAGCAGACTGGACAGGCGAGGCTGGGCTCAGGCCAGCTTGTCGGAGGGAGAGAGAGGCAGACACATGCATTTGTCCATTTATTCATGCATTCCACCGGGGACACTGACAGGCCCTCTCCTGGGGGCTGGGTGTGTGTGCTCTGTAAGGGGGGACCGTGGCACAGGGGTGGCATTTCACATCCTGGCCAGGTGCGGGTTGGGACTTAGGGTTCACGTTAGCTGCTGGCAGGCACATGGCCCCAGGAAGCTCCTGGACCCTAGGGAGTGAGGAGGGAAGGGCACCACCCACCTGGGGCCCCTGTGTCCAGGCCCCAGGCTGGAAACTTACACCCACGGCCGTCTTGTCAATGACATGGTTGAGGTTTGGAGCTATGCTGAGAAGCCCAGAGTTCTGGGACCCACAGAGTGTGCTAGGGAAGGGATGGAGTGGCGAGGAAGGGGACCCTCCATTTCTGTGGGTCTTCAGAGTTGGGGTTGAGAACACACGTGCCCTGTGACAGGCACTGAGAGGAAGCTGGGAGGTGCAGCTGCCAGGCACCTCCCTTCCCACCTCCAGTTCCTGGGGAGAGTCCAGATGTCACGGCAGGGCCTGGCCTGCCACAGTTCCACCTCACAGCCTCTCTGTGACAGGGCCAGACCAGGCCCACAGCTGCTGAGCATGCCTTTTGCTGCTGGTTCAGGTCTGGCCTGCAGGCGGTGGCCAGAGCTGCAGCTAGACAGGGGGTCTAGACAGCTAGACAGGGCCACGGAGAACACACAACACTCCTGGCACCACAGTGTCATCCGTAGCCTGTCTCAAGGCTGGGACTCCATAGAGATCAGCAGCGAATAGCCCTGAGCACCCTCCTACATGGGAGGGGCTCTTATTTCTCCCAGAGCAGGGACATCCACTGCCTGGCCTGCAGACCTGAGCCCAGACACAAGCAGGAGGGCCAGCCCTTGGTGCCCGGTGGCCCTCTGCCCTCCTCTGCCTGTTCACCGCCTTCGACTTCACAGCCGGTTGCAGGACTGGATCCGACGGGCCTGTGGCTTCTCAAACCTATGGTTCCATTTTTCCTTTCCAAGCTTTCCTGCTCCTAGGTTCTTACATAACATGGCAAGACTCTGAAGGTTCTAAACACTCCACCCACTCCCAGGCCTGGAGGAGCAGCCTGTTAGGGAAGAACCTGCAAGGTGGCTGGGCTGTGGGCCTGTGGGAGGCCAGCTGGCCTTGGGGCAACTAATGGCTTCCCCTCTCGGGGCCTCAGACTCCTCGCCTGTTGGGGCATGGCTGTGGCTCCTGCCTTGCAGGCTGCCATGGAGTGCTCAGAGCCAGCTGCAGTGGGAGTAGACAGGATCAGGACAGGCCAACCCCCAGCACTGCTGTCCGAGTTCCCCAGTATGCAAGCCGTCGCTGCCCTCGGCCAGCCTTGGCCCAGAAGGACACCTTCCACATGCTCTGTACTAGGTCCCAGGGACAGGCCAGGCAGGCAGGACCCTTGGCTGTGGAGGTGGCACGGGCAGCACAGCATTAGGGTTGTGGGCAGTGTGGTCACTGGGCTGGGGCAGGTCGGGGGGGAGACATGGACAGAGATGTAGGAGGCAGATCTGAGCAGCTGCCCCTGCAGCATTCCAGCCAAAGGAAGGACCAGCCTGGGGCCCCACCCAACTCTGTCTCAGGATGCCATCTGACTGGGGACAATGGACTTGCACAAGTGGGGTAGTGACAGCTTCCTGGGCCATTCCCATGGAGTCAGGGCCCACACCTGTCCCTTGCCCCCAGCCAGTACTTTGAGACCTGCACTGGTCACTACTGTCTTGAGGCTGGCTGCCTGCCAGTGGGGGTCCAGTGGGAGCTCAGGTCAGCACCTGGCTTTCTGCCAGCCTGCAAAGAGGGCCTTGGGGGAAGGAGATGTCAGTTGGAGCCAGGGTGGTCTCTTGGGCTTGGCACTGGCCCCACAGTGTGTGTCCAGGCCTGCCCCCTGTGTGTGCTACTCCTTTCTCTCTCTGGGAAGTCAATATGCTCTTACCCCTGGGCCCCTTCCCACCAGAGTCACTTCTACAAGAGGTCCACACTGTCCTCCCTGAGGAACTGGTGAGCCCTGGGGGACTCCACTTCCCCTTCCAGCTACCTGTCTCCAGAGCAGCTAACGGAGGTGGGAAAATCCACCCCCCAGCCCCAGTAGTAGAGCCCAGGCCTGCATAAGGCTGGGGAGAGGAGCCCCAGGATGGAAGTCCTCATCTCCTGAACACCCCTGGAGGGGTAGTCACAAGCAAAGGTCTCAGGATGCAGCGTCCAGCAGGCCTCCCCCATGAGGACCTTGCTTTGGAGCCAGGGATAATGCTACACATGAACATTGGCCACCACCCTACCCACCTGGGCTGGATCAGCTTAGGGGTCTCGTCAGCCAGCACTGGTCTGGGGCCCTGATCAGGGAGGAAGATCCAGCCCCATCTGGTCTCACTGGAAAGGACAGATGCTCCCCAGGCCCTCTACATTTGAATGGCAGGTGTTGGGCCAACCCAGGCTCCCAGATCTGGGCTGGGTGGAGCTCCTGGGATCAAGGGCTCTCAGGCAGTGGGTGCACCCTGGGGGCCTCCCTGGGTACTCCTTCCCTTCTATTGACATCTAGAGCAATCAGCAGGGCAGAGGGACCTGCAGGACCCAGGAGGCAGCCTGGGATCCCACTCCTGTTGTCACACTTCACTGTCCCTTGGGTCCTCCTGTTCCCCAAGGCTGCCTGATTTGTGGCACATTTCTTTCTCTACCAGGGTCACTGGGCTGAGGACCAGGCCTGGGTGGCCTATCTGCCCTGCCCTGCCCAGAATAGCCCTGGCCCTGGTCAGTGCAGGCTAGACCAAATATAGCTTGGCCTGCCCACTGCAAGTCCTGCCAGTCTTGGGCTGATTAAGCTTGTCCAGCACCCAGGTGGGGGTGGGGATGGAAAAGCTAGAGTTCTGGCTGATCAGGAGGGCACAAATCTCTCCTTGGGTCTGTCGAGGCAGGGTGACCCCTCCTATGCTGAGGGCCACTCAGACAACAGGCCAGGCACAGTTTCTGTGACAGCTGATAATGAGAGTCCTTCCTCACATGCCCTGGGCAGCAGCTGGCCTCAGTAGGACGCAGGGAGGTCCTGCTGGGTTTTGCATGCCCCACAGTGGGTTCCTGTCTCCATCCCACTCCAGCACACCCACCAGCTGCTGCATGCAGGGTGGGGTCTGGCCCTACTCCCATCAAATCAGTGCTTCTCAGCTGATGGATCTCCCCATAAACAGCACTTTCCCAGATCTCTGTCCCTGGACTGAGGCAGGGCCCAGCCTGCCCACCAAGGCCAGGCACCCTTGGGAGGTCCAGTCCCACACAGCAGCTGTTTAAAAATGAAAGCCCATGGCCTCAGAGGGAGGCCTTGTGGGCGGTGGGAGGCCAGGATCCCTCTGCAGACAGCTCTGCGGCTGGGTGTGGCTGAGGGGTCTTGGGAGGCAAAATGTCAGGTGGGGACACCATGTGAGAGCGTGCAGCTGTCTCTTGAGAGCTCTGTCCTCGAGTGGGTCTGCCGGGGGACCAGGGCTTTAGAGCAGGGCCCAGAGGGTGGCCAGGAGAATGGGGGCCAGGGCCAGGGTCCCTGGGGCAGCCAAGCCAGCACCATTACAGAGGTCGTACTGGCAGCAGGAGGTGGTGGACGCGTGCTTGGAGTAGCCGTCATACACAGTCTCAAAGCATCTGGGCACACAGGACTTGCTGACCTTCATCTTGTACGGGGTGTAGTCTGAAGAGGCAAGAAGGCCTTCCTGAGAGGGGAGGGACTCTGCGTGGCTCAATCCCAGCATGCAGGGCCATTAAGCAGACTCTCAGCAGGAACTCCCAGGAAGGACCCTCCCTCCTGTACCCCAATGCTCCAGGGCAGGGACCAGGGTCCGCCAGACTCACAGGTACGTGTAGTCATGCAGTAGGTGACCATGGCCGGGCAGCGCATGGGGTTGAAGCAATTGTCTCCATTGTAGGCGCACACATGGCAGTCCAGAGCCTGGGCTTGGGTCAGGATGAGGGGGTGGTCACAGAACTGGGAGAAGCCCCACCCACTGTCCAGCCCAATCCCTCCCCACCGCAGGACAACTGGAAGGAAAGGAAAGGTGGTCACTGGGAATTGTAGCCAGCCTCTCCACTTCCAGCCTGCTTCCCCCAAACATGGGTCTTGCACCCCTCTGGCCTTGGCTACCTTACCTAGAGGCAGGCCCACCAGGGCGGCGAGGAACAGCACGAGCAGGGGCGCCATGACTGGAGGCCAGCCACAGTGTGGTGGTGGGGAGGTGAGCAGCACCAGTCCCAGGTCCAGCTCAGGAGGGGGACAGCCCCTGCCCTCCCAGAGCTCCAGGCCTAGAGGAGGGAGGCAGGCTGCATAACTGGTGACAAAGACAGGTAGGTGGTCAGTGCTGGGCAGGCATGTGGTGGGCAAAGGAGTCACCCAACTCAATAGATATCAGGACAGGGTTTCTGGACACTTGCAATTAGAGGCAGCAGAGACAGTGCATTCCAACCAGAGACCAGCACTGACCAAGTCCAAGACTGAGGCACAGCCTGGAGGATGAGGGGCAGGGCTAGAGAAGAGTAGGGGAGCCTGGAGGGCCTTGAAGATCTGTACCCTGGACAGGAGCTGCCCTGTGGAAGGCTACAGAAGCCTGGTACACAGCTCCCTCCCCTTAGGGCTCTGGGCCCAGCAGGTAGGGCAGGGCAGGACTCGGCCCCAGGAGAGCGTCTCTTCTCACTGGTGTCCCTCTACTTTGCCCCTGGCTGACCCTGTGTTCCGTCTCCCAGGAAGGCCTTTGGAGCCCTGCTTAGACTCTCAGGTCTGAGTCCTCAGCACCGCAGGAGCCCTGGGTCGCGATGAGCTCTGTCCACAACCCAGGGAAATGCACTTGACAGGCCTAGGGAGGATGGGAGGAAGAACTCCCAGTCCGGGTGATTGGGATGGAGAGGGCCAGTGTCTGGGAAGGGGTTTGGCCGGGAAGCGGGGATCTGGACCAGGACTGTCTCTCCCCGCCGCATACCAGGGCCGACCCTGCCCCCAGGGACTAAATCAGACTCCCTGGAAGACACTCCCGTCTTTCCCGACCCATTTCCCAGGCACCCACCCCGGCCAGAGTGAGGGCAGGACTGCGGCTCCGGAGCTTCCCGCCCCCTTTCGGAGAGCTCCGCCCCCAGGACTGCGGCACCAACCAAGGGAGGGCTCCAGACGGGTGCGGTACCTGGTGACCAAGACAGTGACCTTCAACAGCTCGAGACCCCGCCGCGCCGAGAACTCACCCGCGACCTCTAGCCCGTCCCTCCCTCGGTCTGCCTGCGCGTTGGTCCGAACTCTCCGCAGTGCTGGTGGTGGTGCATCACCGGCCCCGCAAGCTCTGCAGCCCGGGCTGAGCGGAGCGAGCGCACAAATGGCCCCGCCCCGTCCTCGCCCTGTTCCCGCCCCCAATGCGCTCAGCCCCGCGAGCGCACCTCC